ATAGATTAATTGACCATATATGCATAGGTTTATTTCTGGGCTCTCAATTCTATTCCATTGGTCTATGTGTCTTTTTTCATGCCAGTATCATACCATTTTGATTACTGCAACTTTGCAGTACAATTAAAATCAGGGAGTTTGAGACTTCCAGCTTTATTTTTCTTTCTCAAGATTACTTTGGTTATTCAGAGTCTTTTGTGGTTCCAAACAAATTTCTTTGTTCTAGTTCTGTGAAAAATGCCATTGGTATTTTGATGGGGATTGCATGGAATCTGTAGATTGCTTTGGGTAGTATAGACATTTTAACAGTATTTTTCCAATCCACAAGCATGGTATATATCTTTCCATTTATTTGTGTCATCTTCAGTTTCTTTCACCAATGTTGACATTGCTTATTGGTGCATTTAGAATGATGAAAAGTGATTTCATACAGGATATTAATATGCTTGTTTGCTTAATGGGCCATTACAGGTTATAACCATTTGGTCTGATTAAATAATGTTTACTTGATTTTATTGCCTTGTTCTCATTTATATACTGGCAATCTTAACCCAATTGTCCAAACCCAGAAAGGATAAAGAAACATGAAGTGCCAACATTATTAGTCCCATAAAGAAATAATAACTTTTATATATACTATCTTTTTTATAACAGTATAATTGATGCCTTTCATTGAAGAAAAGCTTCAGATTTATTTTTTAATCCAACAGTTGGTATAGCATTCATTTGGTCAATAAGTATTTATTGAGCATCTACTGTAAGTAAGATGAGGCACAATTTTAGGTTTTGAGTGGGACACAAGTTTACTTAGATACAGACCTTGTCCGCAGGAGATATAAATCCATCAGGAGAGTTAAGGTACACATATAAATAATTACTAACAATAGAAAATGTGATAAATTCCAGAAGAAAGTATAAATTACCCTGAGATTTCAGGAGAGGAACAGAGTAGAATGGATGTACATGTTTACCTTTCCGGGACTGACCTGAAAGAACAACAGAGTAGGGCGCAGCTGAAGGGCTATGAATTAGTGGCACCTGGGAAAGCTTTCTGCTTTCTTTACTTCCCAACACACCTGTTCCCAGACGTTTAGTGTATATCAAGTTCATTCCACAATTAGATAAAATGCTTAACGTGTAAGTCTTTCTTGGAGGTGGAAACCCATTAGATTTCACATGAAAGTGTAGTAAATACCTGATAGCAGATTTTTCCCTGAGAACAGATTTTGATAGAAGGGGAGGAAAAAAGGACAGAGATAGGTGTCTTAAGGAGCGTTAGAAGAGACAGCAGAGAAAGGAAATAGGGACACAAAAGGGGCTTCTGAGATTGTTTACTTGTCTTGCAGTATTGTCTAAGGTAGGATTGGGAACAATCTCAGAATCAAAAGGTATTGACTGATTCACTTTATTTTAGATTTTTGGATACTGTAATTATACCTTTAGATAAAGGTGGTTGTGTGTAGGGAGCCGGAGGTCTGCAGTAAGGGTTAAGCCTGAGAGCTGGAGGTCTGCAGTAAGGGTTAAGCCTGAGAGCTGGCAGGCTGACAGGCTCTCAGGCCCGGGTGAGCAGTGTGGGAAGGTTGGCCGCTGAGGAGAAAACAGCCAACGGCCTTGAAAGCTACAGAGTCGAAGGCCATCCTGTTAACAGTTTCTGCTTGTTATACATTGTTTTGTCTCGCTTCAGAAAGATTGCTTCCAAGGAATTTATTCCCTGAGAGGAGGGGGCTACTCCCTCAAGGTCCCAAAACCCCCTACCCTAGGAAAGTTACTTTTGCTATAAAAGCTGTATACAAATAATAAACGAGGCCACTCTTTGTCATCAGCATTGGGTGGACCTCCTGCCCTCAGCTTTCGTCTCTAGTCTCTTTCTTTTCCAGTCTCCCACCCAATCCTCTCAGGTGCTCTTTCGGTGGGCTCCTGGCTGACGAGTCAGGAACGCTCAGTTGGTGCGTGGGTCGCATCAGTTGTGCATGCACAGAGATACATGTTTTTGTACTTATTACGTATGTATTGTATATATATATGACAGAGAGATAAATGCATATATATTTGCTCAGACTAAATATCTATTAGGAACATTCATTGTTTAAAAATTCAGTCTTGCTTTGGTGCTTCTGCAAAGACAGCAAGGGTGAGAAGGTCTAGAGAAAAAAGGAGCTATCCAAGAAGCTCAAGTTCATTGCAGATGCCCACTCTCATGGTCAGAGGCACCCTAGGGAGACCTAGCTGATGCTCAGCTTCTCTCTATGCAGCTCTTGATGTTATAAATCCTGACTATTTTAGATGTACTCTTCCATGCCCTCCCCTTCCCAGCTACTACAATTCTTCATCTGTCATATTCGCTTAATATCACTTGTCTCTGAGGGCCATCAACCTTCCTGGGTCATGATATGAGGCATAGGGTCTTGCTGTTCTTCATTCTGTGTCATAACTGCCTTGGATGACCCTCCAGCACCTCCACTTTACCTGGTGTAAACTAAGCTCATTATTTTCCTTCAAAAAAAATACAAAAAAACAAAACAAAAACAAACCCACGCTGCTTCCTATATTCTCCGTCTCAATAAATGGTGTTTCAGTTCACCCCATGTCCTATCTAGAAATCCAACTGTCATCCCCCAAACCCTCTTCCTAATCTCCAATCCATCCAATCACTAAATCCTGTTCCTTCTACCCCAGACATGGCTTTCCAATCCATGCCTCCTTTTATTCCGACTGCTCCTACCTTAGTTGAGGCCCCATTATCTCTCAACTGGACTGTCTATCACTCTTCATATCCCAGCCTCCTCTCCTTTTCCTCCTGTTTATCTGTCACACTGCAACCAGGGCTATTCTTCCTGCGAACCAAATATGGCCATATGACCCTTTTTGCTTTAACACTCCTCTACTTTCTCCTGGCTGCCTGGCCTATGGATGACAAGCTCCTTAGCTTGACACAGGAAGCCATTTATAATCGGTCCTAAAATTATTTATCTAGCTTTCACTCTCACCATTCCGCCACACACACCTTAGACTCCAGTTAGACTGAACTTGTCCTAATTTATTGAAATGCCACGCCCTTTGGCATGCCCTTTTGCCCTCACATTCCTTCTGCTGGAAATGCCCCTCCCCCTACTTTTGCCTTGAAAAACTCCTATTTATTCTTCAAACTCAGCTCAATGCCTCCTCTGTAAAGCCTTCCATTACTCTACCCTGAAATTAATTGCACCATTGTTTGTACTTTATCTGCAGCTCTGCTAAAATTCTTAATACTTCTTATACTTACCTATTCCCTGATAGGCTGTACACTTCTCCTGGGCAGGAACTATGTCTTAAGACTTAACCATCTAGTACACCAGTAAATGCTCAATACATACTATTGGAATTCATTGATTAAGAGGAGAGCTCAGTTTCAGAACCACTTGCTGGATGACACCCGAGTTTCCTCTTGTTTAGGAAGCCTTTAGAAAGGAACATGGAATGACTGGGCGAGGGAGGAAGTGATATGTCACACAAGCAGCAAAGGCCCCAGGCGCATTCCATGCTCAAGAGGAGACAGACTGTACATTATTGTCTGTAATTCACTTCAAAATGCTCAGTAAGGACCAGGGTCAGCAAACCCTTTGGGTCAAATCTGAGTCTTCATCTGTTTTTGGAAATAAGTTTTATCCGAATACAGCCATGTTCATTCATTTTAGTATTGGCTATGGCTGCTTTTGCATTTCAAAGGTAGAGCTGAGTAATTGCAACAGAGATCAAATGGCCTGCAAAACAAAAAAATTCACTATATTGCCCTCTACAGGAAGAGTTTGCTGACCCCTGATATCAACCATGTGGTATAAATGTGCATGTTAATTTCAACCTATAATCCAGGGACAGTCTGTTGCCTTAATCGAAATTACCTGTCTCAGAATTGGTTAGTATTTAATCCATAGAAATACGTTAGAGGCCTTTGTGCCCTGTTTTGAACATAGTATAAAAATCTGGTGAGTCCTATTGTCTGTCCCCTTAGGAATCACATCCTAGGCCTCATTCCTGAATGATCCTAGGTCCAACTACTGATCTAGAGGGTTCTCGGGGCCTTAGTCCAACTAGACAGCTGAATCCTGAGGCTAGAAAATTGCTGCACTTACTCATAATAACTATTTCACATCCATGAAGCCTTCATAAAAGGACAGGACAGGGACTTCACTGAGCTTACAGAACAGGGTCATGACTGTTGTGTGCCTGCTTCCTAGAGGATGTCCCATGTGTAATAAAGGTGAGTCTAGGCCTACTTCAGTTGTAACTTGGTAGAGAAGGCACTACAGCACTCACTTACCTGTAATCATGGGAGGCTTTCCAGTTGTCACCTAAAAGAACCTAATAGGTGCTCGTGACCTGACTGGCTGAGATTAGTGCCCAGAGCTTTCTAGGCGGACAGTCACATATGTCTCAATACATTCAAGAGGCAGTTCTTTCATGCACATGTGATCAGGGAGCTTTGAAACCAAGTATGCACCTTGCACCATATGCATGCCTAGCCCCCTCCCAATTCCCACTCTGGGCACAGGAGGTGAAAGCTAAACGAGGAGAGTGACAGGGTGAGCATGCGCATACTTTGAAAAAACGTGAGAGGTTGTGAAGTGGGAGGTGGATATGCAGCAGGATGAAGGAGGGTTGTGACCTGGTATGAAAAGATCTACAAAGCATGGTAAGTGCGCGATTCAGACAGTACAGTGTTCCTCTGTTCTAGTGTACTTGATTACTTAGCAGAGGTATAATATAGAAATATTACTTGCAACATTTAATAAATAATTAGTTATAAAATGTAGGTATTTTAAAATCTCATATGCATGCTCACAAGCCCCAGAACTACTTCAGAACTAGAAATCTGGGGACAAAGAGCTAATATTTAGAGCCAAGGACCTGAAGGGACATATACCTCAGCTGGTTCTTGGCAGCACAAGGCGAGATGGTCTTTGATGTAAAACAGACAGAAAATACAACATTAAGCTTGCAAATTAAGTAAGGCAGTTACTTACTGACTCAGAAGTTTCTTCCTGAGGCTGTGGAGTGGACCCACTGAGTTCTTCCCCTGATATCCCAAAGCCAGGTTGAAGTGGTGGTGAACCCAAAACTTGAATGAGGTAGGACTCGAAATCCTCACAGTGTTTTTTAAACAATCTTTGCTTCAGGGTGTCTTTCAAAAGAGAAAGAGAAAAGGGAGATAGTAGGAACAATGAAACATTACTCAAAACCTGTTTAAAGAGACCTTCAGAGGTCTCCTTAAAATCAACAGACCATTCTCCTTAAGATCAGGAACAAGACAAGGCTGTCCATTTTCTCCACTTTTATTCAACATAGTTCTGGAAGTTCTAGCCACAGCAATCAGACAAGAAAAAGAAATAAAAGGCATCCAAATCGGTAAGGAGGAAGTAAAATTGTCATTATATGCAGATGACATGCATATAATGACATGCATACTATATAGAGAGAACCCCAAAGATTCCATCAAAAAACTATTGGAACTGATAGACGAATTCTGTAAGGTAGCAGGATACAAAATCAATATTCAGAAATCAGTTGTTTTTGTATATACCAATAATAAACTATCGAAAGGAGAAATTAAGAAAACAGTTCCATTTACAATCACTTCAAGAACTATAAAATACTTAGGAATAAATTTAACCAAAGAAGTAAAAGACCTGTACTCAGAAAATTATAAGACACTGAAGAAAGGAACAAAAGAAGATACAAACAAATGGAAAACCTACCATGCTCATGGATAGGAAGAATTAATATAGTTAAAATGTCCATGCTGCCTAAAGCAATATATAGACTCAATGCAATTCCTATCAAACTACCTGGAGAATTTTTCACAGAAATAGAAAATATAATCCTAAAATTTATACAGAACCAAAAAAGACCCCGAATAGCCACAGCAATCCTGAGAAATAAGAACAAAGTCGGGGGTATCATGCTACCAGACATCAAAACATACTAGATGTTTTAGTATCAAAATGTACGGTACTGGCATAAAAACAGGCACATTGATCAATGGAACAGAATAGAGAGCCCAGAAATAAATCCATGCATATACGGACAGTTAGTCTATGACAAGGGAAGCAAGACTTTACATTGGGGTAAAGATAGTCTATTTAATAAATAAATGATGCTGGGAAAATTGGACTGACACATGCAAAAAAATGAAACTGGACCACCTCCTTGTGCCATATACAAGAACAAATTCAAAATGGATTAAAGACTTAAACATAAAACCTGAAACCAGGAAACTCTTGGAAGAAAATATAGGGAGTAAATTTGCAGACATTACCCTGAGCAATATTTTTACTGATACATCCCTGCGGGCAAGGGAAGTAAAAGAAAAAATGAACATATGGAATTACATCAAACTTAAAAGTTTTTCCACAACAAAGGAAACCATCAATAAAACAAAAAGTAAGCCTACTGAATGGGAGAAGATATTTGTCAACAATATATCTGATAAGGGGTTAATATCCAAAATTTATAAAGCACTCATGCAACTCAACACCGAAAAAATACCCAATTAAAAAATGGGCAGAGAATATGAAGAGACATTTCTCTAAAGAGGACATACAAATGGCCAACAGGCATATAAAAAAATGTTCAACCTTTCTAATCATTAGGGAAATGCAAATTAAAACCACAATGAGATACCATACCATACCACCTTACCCCGGTCAGAATGGCTATCATCAATAAATCCACAAACAACAAATGCTGGTGAGGTTGTGGGGAAAAGGGAACCCTGGTGCACTGTTGGTGGGACTGCAGATTGGTGCAGACATTATGGAAATCAGTATGGAGGTATCTCAGAAAACTGGAAATGGAACTACCTCATGACCCAGCAATTCCACTCTTAGGTATTTATCCAGAAAAACCCAAGACACTAATTCAAAAAAATATATGCACCCCTATGTTCATTGCAGCACTATTCACAATAGCCAAAACTTGGAAACAATCGAAATGCCCATCGGTAGATGACTGGATTAAGAAACTGTGGTACATTTACACTATGGAGTATTACTCTGNTGAAGAGACATTTCTCTAACGAGGACATACAGATGGCCAACAGGCATATGAAAAAATGTTCCACCTCACTAATCATTAGGGAAATGCAAATAAAAAGCACAATGAGATACCACCTTACCCTTGTCAGAATGGCTATCATCAATAAATCAACAAACAACAAGTGCTGGTGAGGTTGTGGGGAAAAGGGAACCCTGGTGCACTGTTGGTGGGATTGCAGATTGGTGCAGCCACTATGGAAATCAGTATGGAGGTATGTCAAAAAACTGGAAATGGAACTACCTTATGACCCAGCAATTCCACTCTTAGGTATTTATGCAGAAAATCCCAAGACACTAATTAAAAAAATATATATGCACCCCTATGTTCATTGTAGTGCTATTTACAATAGCCAAGACTTGGAAACAATTGAAATGCCCATCGGTAGACGACTGGATAAAGAAACTGTGGTACATTTACACAATGGAGTATTACTCAGCTATAAAGAAGAAGTAAATCGTACCATTTGTAACAATATAGATGGACCAAGAGAACATTATGCTAAGTGAAATAAGTCAGTCAGAGAAAGACAAGTACCATATGATCTCACTTATATGTGGAATCTAAAGAACTGAATAAACGAGTAACATAAACAGAAATAGTCTCAGACACAGAGGAAAAACTGATGATTGCTACTTGGGAGGCGGTGGGGATGAGGGAGAAGGGGAAGGGATGAGACATCATAAGTTGGTAACTACAATATTGCCTCAGGGATAAAAAAGACAGTCTGGGAAATATAATCAATAATGTTGTAAATATTTTTTAGGGGGCTAGATGAACTCACGTCTTGTTAGAGAGACGACTTCATGGATGGTGTAGAGGCCTGACCACTGCACTGTATATCTGAAACTGCCATTGAATAATGTTATATGTCAACTATAATTTAATACATATATAGTCATGGGATGTGGAGTATAGTGTGGGAATGGTCAATGGAATTGTAATAGATATGTATGATATCAGGGGTGGGGAGGCAGTGGATGGGAGGAGGGGGGTTGTCACTTTGTGAGGGGTGAAAAGTATAACTATTCCATTGTTTTGTACACCTGAAACAAATAATAATAAAAAATAAAAAAATTAACAGACACTTTCCTACCACTTGATGTCAACTGCTAGGTGAATGAAGTTTTAAAGCATTTTCACATCATCTGTAAGAGGCCACCTAAAATAATTTTATTTTATTTAATAATATACGAGGACCCAAATAGGCAAATGAATGACCTAAATGCTTGATTATCTAAAGCATCAGTTAACTGTGAACTACTCTGTGAAAGGAGCAAGTCTCACCCATAATAAGTCTAATAGGCAGTACCTCTGGTTTTAAGGACAGCAAAAGTCCAGCCAGTGCAAAAATATATCCCTCACTGGCTGGGACGAATTACTAACTCCTTTGGTTAAGATAATAAAGCTCTTCAATTATTAAAATATAACTTGTCTCTGAAATGTGTAATACTTCTGGTCATTCTAACACGTTAACAACCCAGTGAGATTGAATATATTAAACCATTAGTCACCCAGAAGGAAATGGGGCCCCGAGTTAGAAAGGTCTGGAGAAAGAGGGAACTAGAAAGTGGGAGGGTTCTGAGTATGGTATGCTATCGTCAGGGCCAGCCGTGCTGGTACCCGGAGTAGGTCGGGAGTAGCATGGGGCAAGGGAGGTCTGTGCCCGGCCATGTTAGGCCCCACTCCCAGGTGGGTGGAGAAAGAAGGAAGGAGCCAAATGGAAGCCTGCAAACACAGTAAACATAAATTTATTTCACAAGCTTGCCAGGTGTGGGCCCTGCCAGAGTGAGTTATTGGTTTCCAAAGAATTGAAACGTTTCATTGTAAAGCAGTTCTGGCCGTACTTCAATCATAGGTGAGTCAGTGGCTCATGAGGAAATATAAGTTCATGTGAAAGGGTAAAGTAACACAGGGAAAACCCTTCAGATTAGCATTGACTGCATGACGAATATTCAAAGTGTTGTTTAGATAAACTCCTGACATCAACCCATTTACTCATTATCTGTCTTCATAAAAATCGAGAATAAAATGCTGTTTTTATAAGAATTGAGAATAGAGACTAGAACAGAGAATAGAACAGAATCCCAGCTACTTATGTCTCTCCTCTCTTTAGATTACCATAACATTTTTCATGTATCATGCGCTTCTCAATTCATTTTGATTCTGTGGTTATTTTCTGCCTTGCTGCTGACTTGCTCCATCTCTTATTCAAGTTAGGGAACTTTTTGAACATTAACTAATCTTAGCAATACTCCAAAATTCTCTTCTTTCTTTTCATTCATGCCCTTTGACCCCCAGTTAAATAACTCCAAGACCAGCACTTATTATAAATGAATAAAAACAAGCGTCGTACTCTTTAAACTGGATGATACTAAATGTTTTTACCTCCTGGAGTTTATGTGCTGAATTTAATGTTTGCATAAGCCTCATTAGCTTCCTGATTTCCATTTTTGCTCAGGATAATCCAGTGATGTGGTACTTGGAAGAACAACATAAAAATTCCTTTCCCCTGGAGCTCTGTCTTACCTTGCAGCGTAATGAAGTCATCAAACTGATAAACGTGCTCACTATCTGGGTCACTAGCAATTAGATTCATTTCTTTGTGGAACATTTCGAAGTTGGGGTCATTTTTCTTCACCACCCCGATCACAAATATTTCCACATTGGCATCCCTGGCATTCTTCACCACCTCTGTCAGATTCTTCTCATCTCGGGTGTCCGTCTGCCCATCGGTGATGACCAGGGCCACTTTCTTTACACCCGGCCTTGCAGCTCCGAACATGTGGTTGGCTGCATGGAGAGCCGTGGCCGTGTAGGTGCCTTCCCCCAGATACTGCATGTTGTCCACGGCCAGCTTGAAGTTGTCCTTGCTGGAGAACTGTGTCAGGTCGGCCACCTTCTCCACCTTGTGGCTGTAGTTGATTATGCCTACGCGGGCCGTGGCCAGATCCAGAGCAACCTGGTCGGTGAGAGTCTTCACAAAATTTTTGATGATCTGGAAGTTCTCTGGCCCCACACTTTCTGAGCTGTCAATCACAAACAGCAGCTCTAGCGGAGTCTCTTTGCATTTGGGTCCACAACCTAAAAGATGAAAGTGCAGATGGAAACATTGCAGGAATGAAAATCAAAACATCACTGATGGGTGTCAGATTGGTGCCGGGAGGGGAGAGACAGGCAAGGATGAACCCGGGACCTAGACTGTTAACCTTTCTGTGACTGTGAACACAGCTGACAACTGTCTCCCTTCTGGCTTCTATACCTGACTCTTATTCAAAAATAATTTTAAAAACAAAAAAACCCTACAAAAAACTAAAACACCATAACAAAATAATAAATACTATGTGCCAATTTCTCATATTAAAAACTAAAATATTTTTAAAAGTCAGCATCCCCTTCCTGATTACATTCCTCTCTCTCTCCCTACGAGATAGGCACTATTCCTAATTTGTCATTCCATCTTTTGTATTTAATCTGAATCTGGAAGCTCATCTTTCAGTCTTCAACCATATCTTTATATGAAAAGGGAGATTTGCGCATTGACTTGGCCAACAGGTAAAGTAATGGGGTGAAAACTTCTAATTGTGGTGGAAGAATTAGGGCTTTTCCCTGCACACAAGTGGCTGCCCCTAGCTACTCTAGGTTATGTCCCCAGTCACCCATGATGCCGACTCTGGTGGCTCCCATCTTGTCAAAGAGGCCAGCAATCCATTCATGCTATGAAGCCATTTGAGAGCAATGAAAATGCTAGTCAAGAAACAACTTCTATTTAGGGTTTATCATTCCAAGCAGTTGCCAGAGTCACCAGGCAAAAATAATTATCAGGGTTCCATTGGTTTATCCATATCCCCATGTTGCCCAACAACCCTACCACAGAAAATCATGAGGAAATTGGTGCTATTTTAACAGGGCTTCTAGAACTCAGAAGCCATGTCTAAATTGTCCTGTCACCATACACAGTCCCAGGTTGGTTCTTGAAATCCATAAGCCTTCTGGGTGACAAGCCAGTCCTGGGATTCTCTGTATGAAAGAAAAATGATATTCCTGCCTCTGTCCAATTTCAACACAGAAGGTTCCCTTCATTATTCCATTCATCTCTTGCCTTTTGGCTAATCTCTTTTCTTTATTTCCTCTTTCTGGTAACTCTGTTTTTTTTGTGGTTTTTTTTTTTTAAGATTGGTATTGGGGAATTGGGGAAGGGGAACAGTGTTGGGGAATTGGGGAAGGGGAACAGCCAAGTTGTTGTCCTTTAATCTTAGTTGTAGAGGGCGCAGCTAGCTCAGCTCCAAGTCCAGTTGCCATCTGGCCGCCCGTCGGCAGCTCACTGCCACTCAGCGCAGGGTGCCGTGTTCAATCTTATTGCAGGTGGGCATAGCCCACCATCCCATGTGGGAGCTGAACTGGAAACCTTGTTGCTAAGAGCACATGCTGTAACCCCTGAACCATCTGGCCGCCTGACGGCAGGCAGCTCAGGGCAGCTCAGCTCAAAAGGGCCGTGTTTAATCTTAGTTGTGGATGGGCGTAGCCCACCATCCCATACGGGATTCAAACTGGCACCCTTGTTGTTAGGAACATGTGCTCTCACACCTGCCACCTGTTGGCAGCTCAGCGGCAGCTCAGCTCGGGCACAGCTCACTGGCTTATGTGGGAATTAAACCGGCAACCCCGTTGCTCAGAGCTCATGCTCTTAACCAACTGAGCCACTCTACCAGCCCTGGTAACTCTATTTTAAGTCTAACATATTTTGCCATAAAAGCATTTAGATGCAGTTGTGAAATAAAATGACCTCTTGACTCTGTCCTTCTGCCTTTGAAGTGGAATGCACTCAATTCCACAAAAATGCAAACAAAAGAGCTGAAAACTCAATTCAGAAAGACTTCTTGCTTTAGGAAAAACAGACAGGATAGAAACCAGCTAGGCTGTACTCAAATACCAGTTGGGCCCCTGTGGTCTTATTTCCTTTGTTGTTTTTTCTTCCCAAGCTCCGGTAAATGGCACTGAATATAAACGAGCGCTGTGCTTAGAGAAAGCCTGGCTGCCCACAGACTCTAGGCAGGTATCTTCACACTTTTTAACCACCCCAGAAAGAAGATTTTCTTTTCTTAAACCAGAATCCCCACAGCCCCTCTCACTGCTTTCTTTCATTTTCCCATTGACTTTTTAAAGGAGCTTCAAACTTTCTCATGAGCTATATAACAGACATCCTCTGTGTGAACACATTATCGTGACCAACACAGAACATAGTGGGGTTGGTACTTTAAAGTAACGGGTTTTTCTTGATAGCCAAATCTTACCACATATTTCAACAATAAGTTTGATAATTTCTTCTTTCTGGAGAAAAAAAAGGAAAATGCATTAGTTGTATGACCACAATATTTTTTCCTATAGTCATAAAGGATATGTCATATTACAGTCAGCATTGCGTCATTTGATTTAATTCTTCCACTGAGGAAATAAATAGCACAGAGGTTAAAGTTGGCTATAGTATATCATAACTGAAATGTGTTTGAGTTGTGAAATGTAATAGCCCAGACTTTTGAGTTCATATTGTGGCTCCAGCATTTATCAGTGGTGTGACCTTGGGCATTAAGTGACCTAACAGTATGGGTGTCTTAGGGCTGTGGTGTGGATTAAAGAAGATAATGCACACAGAGCTCTTCGCACAGGGTCTGGCCCCACAAAGCACAGTAGTCCCCTACTCCCCCATTCGTGGTGTTGCCTTCCGTGGTTTCAGTTCCCTGTGGTCAACTGCAATTTGAAAATATTAAATGGAAAAGTCCAGAAATAAACAAGACCTAAGTTTTAAGTTGTGTGCCATTCTGGGTATTGAGATGAAATCTCTTGATGTGCCATTTCATCCTGCCCAGGATGTGAATCACCCCTTTGCCCAGGATAGCCACGCTGTACACGCTCCCCAACTGTTAGTCACTCAGTAGCCACCTGGGTTATCAGATGGGCTGTCATGGTATCCCAGTGCTTGTGTTCAAGTAACTTTTATTTTACTTAATAATGGCCCAAAGCACAAGAGTAGTGATGCTGGCAATTCAGATATGCCAAAGTAAAACCATAAAGTGCTTCCTTTAAGTGAAAAGGTACAGGGTCTTGTTATTAAAGAAAAAAAATCATATGCTGAAGTTGCTAAGATCCACAGTAAGAGTGAATTTTCTTTCTGTGAAACAAGATATTTTGAGAGAGAGAGAGAGAGAGAGAGAGAGAGAGAGACCACATTTATATAACTTTTATTATAGTATAATTGTTGTATTTTATTATTACTTATTGTTCTTAATCTCTTACTGTGCCTAATTTATAAATTCAACTATATCATAGGTATGTATGTGTAGGAAAAAACATAGTATACGAGTATATAGGGTTTGATACTTTTTGTGATTTCAGGCATCCACTGGGGGTCTTAGAACAGACTCCCTGCAGATAAGGAGGGGGCTAATGTACTACCTACAATGGCACGGGTAATGCACGCATTCAGTTACACAACGTGCCGAGCAACCAGGACAACCACCAGGGCCAGAAGAAAATTCGTTCTATGCTATATCCACTCCTCTTTTTCTGTGCCACTCCCCAATTTTGCAAGCTTCCTAATACTCTTGCTTTGGCTCTTCCATGAAGTACGCCCATGTTCTGAATGCTCCTTCCTGGTCCTGCTGCCCCAGCGCCCCATCAGAGGCCCCCGGGGAGCTCTGTGCAAGAAAAAAGAGTGCCCATACGTTTTCTTCAGAAGCGTGTGTCTCCGAAACCGCGATATGACTATAGGAAAGAGAGTGCTCTACATGCGCTAAACAGGCAGATGTCACGGGGGTTTTTAACAGTACACGAAAGAGACAGAAACCCAGAGCAACTCTTACCAGAGGGGCGGAGGAGCTATAATATGAGGAGCAAAAATTTCACTGTCGCAAGTGAAAAGTTATAGAAAAAAATCTTTTATTGACGAACTGGGGGTAAAGGTACCTAGGTGGTGGAATGAACTTACCAAAAAATAATAGGGGAATATTTTTGGCATTTTAAATTTAATTTTTTCTAATAAATTAGTTCGAAGCAATGAAACTTTTAAAAGCAATCCCCAAAGCTAATTTAAAAAAACTATTTAAAATGGAGGTTATAAGTAATTTTTTTTCAGGCCTCATCATGTTTTTTCACATTTAGAAAGGCATTTAATAAATATGAAACTAGAATGTTTCTAAAAAAGGAAAATGTATACACACACACACACACACACACACGTGTGTGTATATGTGTATAGATATATATGTATACATATATGTATATATGTATATATATATGAATATAGTATATTTAGAAAGGGGAAATGCATATTTTATATTTTTATATTTAATTTTTTTACAAGTGAAGGAAATTATATCAAGCTTTATGATTATAGTTTTTTACTTACTGTTATATCATAGTTAATTTCCCACATTATTTACTATTCTGAAAAACTTGATTACTGGTGTCAAGTGCATGGCTATTCTAAGACTTTTTTTTTTTATTAGTTTCAGGTATACAAAACAACATAATATATTAGACATTTACACCCCTTACAAAGTGATAACCCCCAAGTCTACTACCCCTCTGACATTGTACATAGCTATTACAATACCATTGATTATATTCCCTATGCTGTACTTGACATCTCATGACTATATTATAGTTATAGTTGACATTCAGTATTATTTTATATTAGTTTCAGGTGTCCAGTGCAATGGTAAGGCATCTACACAATCTAAGAAGTGATTCCCCCTGATAAGTCCAGTACCCACCTGACACCTTATTTTAAGACTCTTGATGCACACTGCCAAACTGCCCTGCAGAAAATTAGTAGTAGTGACTCCTCTAACAGCAGTATATAAGAAACCCTGTTTTATTTTAGACACACCATACTGGCTATTATTATTATATAATCTTTGCCATTTGATAAAGCAAAACATCTCATTGTTTTAAATCATACTTATTTGATTATTAAGGAGGCTAAATTTTATTTTACATGCATATTTCCAAGTTGTATTCACTTGTGTATAATCTTTGTATGTCCTTTGTCCATTTTAAGATGTTTGTCTTTTATTGACTTGTAAGAATAATTTATACATCAAAGTTGCATTTTAATTATTTTCAATGTGCTTTTATGGGATAACCAGGTCTAAAATGCTTTAAGTAGTCATACATGTATATCAATCTTTTTCTCATATTCTTTACTTTTAAGTGACTGGAATAGTTTCATTCTTTGCACTAAAATTGCTAAATGATGACTTTGGTTATGTGTTGCCAATGATGAAGGCATCAAATTTATACCTCTCAAAAGGTTCACAGTCCAGTAAGAAGCAGATAAATAAACAAATACTTTTGTAAGTGCTGTGCTGTTAGATTGGAGCCAAGGAAACATGTTCTACTAGAGATTCTACGGGGGGGAGAATGGGGGGGTGGGGCTGTGCACGGGGGGAGACCACGATCAACATGATGTGGGGGGGGGAGGAGGAGAAGTATTGAACAGGGACAAAGCACAGTGCAGTACAGTGCTTGAGTAAACTTATGACTCAGGGTATGTGGCAGAAAGAATGACAGGACATGTCGAAGACAGATGAACTCTTTGTGTCATGTTGAAGAGTGTGGACTTTTTCCTGGGTAGTGAGAAGACATACGGCCTTAAACAGAGAAGAGATCTGATCACACTCGTATTTAAGAAAATGGATCGTAGCAGCCAGTGGAGGGGTTTAAGGTTCCCAAAGAGCTCAGGCAAAGAAAATGACACGGGAAAGCAGTGGTGGTAGTGATGAATGGGAAGGAATGACCTGGAGGGACATTTCAGAGGGAGAATGAAGGGGTGGGTGAGTCACTGGAAGAAAGGACAAAGAGGAAGAAGGAATCTAGGAGGAGGCAAATGATGATGGTGCGCTGAAACAGAAAAGAATGCAATAGGGGCAGTGGGGGAGCCAATGAAGACCACTGCGTTTGGCCTGGGCCTGGCCCAATGTGATGCATGGATGGGACATCTCACTGGAGATGCCCAGTAAGCAGAGGATGTAAGGTCTGGTGCGCAGGAGAGCAGTTCAAGCTGAAGTCAGATTTAAAGAATGCCGGTGTACTGTTGAAACAGGGATGGCAGATGAGATTGTATGGAGCAGGCCTTCTCAACCTTTTTTCAACCAGTGTGCCCCTCTCCCCACATTTGTTACACATATTCTTTCCTATGTTTATAATGTATCAGCAATATTTTTAAAATTCTCCATACAATTTTACTATGGTATCAAATTAGCCTTTTGAAACTATACATCCCCCCTATCTTTAAGGGCTGTCCCTCCCTGAGAGTTTAGAGACAAGAAAGAGAAGACACTGGGGAACGCTAACATTTGAGTGACAGGAGGAGAAACAGTCTTTTTAAAAAGCAATTTGGTGTGAATTATTAAACGATTGAACTCCATCAATGGTATTTGCCTCTTAAAAGAGGAATTTGTTAGTCTGGAGCGAATCAGCAACTGAGAGCTGTTTGGGAATGTGTTTGATGAGGAGAGAATGGGGGCGGGGAGAGGAAAGAGGCTGCCATCCATAGCGTTCCTGGGGGAGCAGCCTGGGTTTGGCCTCAGACAAGCCAGTTCTGTATGTAGGGGCTCTGCTACTTGCTAGCAAGCGACTTCGGGCATATTGCTCAAGCTTTCTGACTGACTTAGCACAACTTCATTGAAGTGGAGGTAATACTACCCACTATAGAGCAGTCCTGTGGGTTAGTGTGGGGTCTTGAGCAAGAGAGGCCCATGAGCACCGCCTGTCCCCTTCTTACTGCTCCCCATCCCCACTAGTCCTACACTACATGGGCCGTAGCCAGCATTCGGGGGTGAGTACAGGCCTCACTTCCAAGCTCTGTCCAAGGCCCCCCAAAACAGTTGCCCCTGGCCACTTTGTGAGTGGGCCCATACATACAGGCCAGTACTGTAAGCTCTCTAACGGGCGTTTGGGCAGGTAGTTCTGGGACCCTGTGTATCCAGGGTGTGGTATAGAGGAGGCATGTGCTCAGGGTGGTCGTGCCATAGTTCACCCTCCCCATCCCCTGGAGGACTCCTCACCTGGGGGAAGGGGTACAGCTGAAGAAGGACTAGAGGTCAAGAGTGGGTTCTCCAAAGCATGGGCCCCAGGCACCCTGCAGTACTGGATAAGGGTGGCACTGCTGTGAAGGAGTCTAACACGGGGCGTCATGTATGTGAGTCTCACTGAATGCAAATTCTCTTTTCCTTAATTCTCCCATTCCTGATAGTCCCTTTTTTCTAGAATCCAGAAAGCCAAGATCAGCAGAATGACAATCCCTATTTCTAAGCTCTCTGCCTCTTGGTTAAAACCCTTCAGCTAAGACATAAAAGCCTATCTGCCTTCAAACATCATCACATATCACTTTGTCGTCTCTGGACCCGCAAGCTACTTCTATCATAGCGTTTCTCAAACTGTAGGTGAACAGCCTTTGCTTGTCTTTCTCTCTCCTGGGCTGCAAGCTCCTTGAGTCCACAGACATAGTCTCTTATTCTCTATTATCCCCGGCCCCCTGCATCCCCCTCCCCGAACCCAGAGTACACACCCAATAAATGCTGGTGAAATGAATGAACAAATGAGTGGTTCAAGGAAACCAGTCCCCTTCCTCATGTTGGAACAGGAGGGAGGATAGAAACCTATGGGGGATGTTCCTCTGGGCATTTTACATACACCCCTCCCTGGTACTTTTGGGGAGGAAGCACTGCATATGTGGTGCAAATTAACAAAGAGAAAAAGGCAGAAGGGCCATTAAAAACACAAAACAAAGCATGTTCAGTTCTGTTTGCCGCAAGCCCAGCTCTCATCTCATGCCTTCACTACCTGCACGCACACCACCCTCACATCAGGATTTGCCCAGCACAGTACCTAAGATCAGCAGATCATGACCCACCAAAAAATCAAAAGGGAAAAAAGAGAAGGTCCCTATTTCTTCTCCACTCCAGGGGATACCGTGCCTTCAAGTCAGAAAGGAAAAATTAGACTTGCTGTAGGAATTCAAGAACTTGTGTACCCTGTGGGTCCTTAAAGAGTTGGCCTTTTGTTTGCAATGGTTTAGGGAAGCGAATAGGGGCAAGTTTGTATGTGCTTCACAAATCTTTGAATAAGGGAATCAGTACATAAAAGTAATCCTTATCTTGTGATTGCTGTTCTCCTCAGAGCAAGTCCTAAAAGAACTGGTTGAGGAACAAAAGAGCCCCCAGTATCAGATGTGAAGGGTCATGTAAAATAAAAAGTCCTTTGGTCATTTGGCTTCCTGTAAACAGCTCCCCTCCTTGTTACTGTTTCTACCAGGGATCAGAGGGGAGGAAGTCACACATCTCCACCATGAGGCTGCCGGATGGTATTTCTCCCTCACATTCAGGTTCAATTACCTCGTGCATTTAAATGCTGTCATTTAAATAGCATACTTCTAAAGCTAAAACATGAATGTAATAATTTTGCAAGCACAAACCCTCAGTTAGCCTCTAGGATTGATACTCACTGTAAGTCCTTGGTCTCCTTTTGGTCCTTGTAACCCCTGCTTAGTGGAAGAAGAGTAACAGTCAATATAATTTGGAGCTAGTTATAATGTGCAAAATTATAGTAAGAATTTAAAAGTCACTTCTTGCCTGTTTTCCTGGAGATCCGGGCTCTCCATACTCCCCTTTATTGCCTTTCTTGCCCACATCGCCCCGTTCTCCGTGCTCTCCCTTTATAAATACAGTGAAAGCATAAATTTAAAATGTGAATTTTAAAGCCAAATTAAAAAAATTCTAAAATTTGGTTTATTTATAACTGGTATGTCTTAAAGACTTGCAGTTCTTGTTGATGCAAATGTATAATAGGGGAAATAAAAAAAACCTGGGGCATTTTATTTATTATGGTAACCCCCAGGTACCATAATCCAATTCCTGA